TTTGTTAACCCAAGTCAAATAAGTAATCCTACATGAATTCAAGATAGGGGAAATACCATTTAAATACCCTTTGAAAGATTCATTGTAAATTAATTCGGAGAAGAGCCAAAAGAGTTGCATATTGTAAGAGTTGTAGAGAAAAACAAAAGAGAAAAAAATCTAGGGTTATGAGGACCTTTAGGTGAGATCGAGAGAGGTTTTCTTGCGGGTTCCTTGAAGAACGCAGGAAGATCAAATCTTTGTAATATCTGGGAATAAAGAAGATTTGAATCTCTCCCTAGGGACGTATGCTTGTAGAACCACATGAAGCTTGTGTTTCTAGCATCAAATTACTTTTCTGCATGGTTTAGTTTTCTATTTGCTTGGATATTTCTTTTCTCGGTGTTTCTCTATTGCCGAGGTGAGCAATTGCCCTAGTAAGATGGAAAAAAATCTACTTAAGAGACCCATGATAGCCTCCATGCCGATGGCTGATTCTCAACAATTGGTATAAGAGCTAATTGTTGGCCAACAATTGGTATTAGAGCTAATTGTGTCTGCAGAGGGGTGGAGTTAGACTGGAGGTGGTATAATGGCTTGTTATTACCGATCGTAAATTGACGGATTAAACATGGATATGCTTCATATTTATTTGATTATTATTATTTTTGAATGTATGCTATAGCCAAGGCGTGAGCAATTAACTTTTAACATCCCACTTACACCCATTTATTTTGTTTATCATCATCCTTTTTTCTATTCTCATAGCTTTATAATTATAATGAGTATGTTTTCTGTTGAAAATAAAATGAGATTAAATCTATTGAGATGGTTTAGTCACATGTAATGAAGGCCAAAAAATGCATCGGTATATCTTATACCTAATAGAGGAAAGAGGAAGCAATTAAGATAGATATGGTACTGGTTATCTTGATGAAGGAGACAATCCTAAATAGAACTAAATGAATAAATCAGATTTATGTAGTTGACCTTACAAATTTATCTACAAATTTGAGATAAAGGCTTTGTTGTTATTATTTCCGCTGCTTTTTTTACAAACCTGCATATGCATTTTCTAGACAATGGACACATCATGAAATGATGCGAGATCATATGGAGTATTACTTTGTTATGTCTAATACAAACTTAATACATATATGAGGTAAAGCAAAAACAAGTGCATAAGTACAAAATAATAGTTTCTTATATTTAATCTTCCAACCTTAATTTTAGCTACTTTTAGCATTTTGAATCCAGTAATTAATGTTAAAAATATTTCGTAGTCTTGTAGGCATAAAAGTAAGAAGTTTTTGCTATGTGTGAGTCTGCGACAGACCTCAAAAAGATGTTCCCTTGTATAATTTTAGTATTCATATCAGAAAACTTGCCATTTATTAATGTTAGCCTGCAGATGCTCAGCGGTTTATGTTTCATTTCTTCTTCTTGTTGGCAATGTTAACATCATTTCATTATAGCATCCTGCAATGGTTGGGAAGAAGGCTATAGCCGCATAAGCTTTGTTAGTGATATATCACGTTATATGCTATAATGTAAGTTCTAGATCTTAAACTTTTCATGTTTTTGTTTGCTCATTTTTCTTAATTTGATTTTTCCTGTTTGATATTCTTTTACAGAAAACACTGTGCATAATGGTCAACCCAGAATTCATTGTTATACTTTTGAACAAGTACGCTTATTGGTTAGATTGAGGACATAATACACACAATCAAAATTTCATATTTAGAAAAACGCTCCTAAAATCATTATTATACGGAGTAACAAATAACGAATTGTATAGGTTCAATATTTGTTATAGAGAATATTTGATTATATAATTTCGGCTTGATTATTGAATTGTTTGGAACTTCTAGATTTATTATGTCACTATATTGGAACGTCGAGCTTATACCTGTCACTTGATTGTATCATCAGTTGGAGCATATTCCTATGGACAATCATGTCATTGTATAAATTGCACTCAGTGCCTTGAAGATAGTTTTGAAAAAATTGCAGTAGCTCATTCTTTTAACATAGTAGCCGAGTCGGACTCCCTAGTCTTGGAGAACTTCTCTTTGATATTTCATTGCCATCGAGGAGGATTGCCCCATATGTACCACCTCACTCCTCTCTCCTCTGTTGGTTCGATCATCGCTAGGCCCCTTTTCTAGTAGTATCTCCATATCAGGTGCCTCCATCTCAATAACGGAGAAAACGAAACAATTACACTCCCCAGGACTCCTGTCATCAATTGGTCCTCTCTTTATCGACCCCTTCATTTATGCCGCTTCCACCTTATTGATGAAGAAAAAAGAAGCATCATTATTCCTCACCTTTGTGGGTCATATCATTGGTGATTCTCCTGGATAACAATCTTCTTCTCTGATATCTCCAGCTCATCGACGGTGAAAAAGAAGCTATTGCTTCTCTCCTATGTGAATCCTATCATCAATGAGTCCTCTCCGGTGGGCTTTCGATCTGTGCCATCTCACGCCATTGATAAAAGAAAAGAATAAATAACTCTGCTTTTCTCTGTGAGTAGTGAAAGGTCTTCTCTTTGATGGCCAACTGATAGGTAAATCTTGAACTTACCTAAACTCTTCCATTTGCCTATTCTGTCGAGCTAGTTAACATGTTTGTAAAAGCTTGGTCTCAACCTCTATTTCTTCATCCTGTCTCTAACTTCACCTTCTAATATGTACGCACTCGTGGTGGAGTCTAAAAAGTAATGAATAATGGATTGTCTAGATGTAAATTTCATTATGTTAGAGATGTTTGACAATGTAACTTATAGCTTGACTGTAGGATTCGATGGCGTAGATTCGTTGTACCACTAAATTAGGAATGCTTCACCGTATAATTTGGGCTTGATTGATTCAAAAAGCTGTGTTATGAATGAACGTCCTGTATAAGTAGGTAATCTTATGTACCTTGAAGATTTAAACGAGAAAATGCAATAATTCATTTCTTTTATAAATGAAGTATTGCATTTTCTTTTATTTTCTTCAAGGTACAGGTGAAGCCATATTTACATAAGAAAAATATGGTATTCATACTAATACGTACCCTCAAATCAATCCTAATCAAACCTAAATTATGGCAAACATTCCAAATGTAGTGGCATTTTGAATTTAGAATATGTAATCAATTCTATAATCGAGCTCCAATTACATTATAGAACTTTCCTGACGTAGTAGTATAATTAATCTAGACATTTCGTTACTCAATCCTCCTTAATATTAGGGATGGAAACAAATCAAATAATTAACAATCATTTCATTAACAATTCGTCAAAGTATTCGGTCTTATTCAATTCATAAGTTCATTACTTCATTTAACAATAAGCGAATAAATTATAGTATTCAGTTCATAAATGTATATAATTTAGCCGGATGTATATTCAATTTGTTTGATTATTAAATTTTTATTTATGTTTTACGTTCAGTCTTATAAATTTAATGCCTTACAAACTCTACTCGTCCTATATACTTATGCTTGAGATGTATATCATTTCCACATATATCAGGACAACAACTTGTCAATCATAAATAGACTTTTAATTATTTAATCCTATGATTAAGGTCATCAAATTTTATTGGAAGTTAAATTTAACTTTGATCAAGTTATTGATAAGTGTACATAGATGTAGATTGGTATTTGTTTGAATTAAAATAAATTTATAACTTTCGTTTCGAATTTAAAATAAAGGAGTTTTAAATACTAAAATAATTGCACGGAAGGATTTTATGTAGATGCAAAATGTGTAATTTAAAATAAAGGAGTTTTAAATACTAAAATAATTGCACGAAAGGATTTTATGTAGATGCAAAATGTGTAATAGATGCTAAAAGACTTTATGTAATGAATTTGTAGCAGGTCAATCAAATTAGAAGTTACTAACAAAGTCAAATTGTATATAAAATATGCTTATAAAAAATAGTTTTGTTCGTCTATTTTTTATTTTTTTATTTTTTGAATGAATGCTATTAATTAAGAGGATTTGAATTTATTCTTATCTATGATAATTTGCTCAACACGAGTTTCAAGTCAAACTAGCACATTTACCAGCTGAGGTAATCGAGTATTCGTAAATACTTAACAAGTAAACAATAGTTAAAATAAATCAAATTTAAACACTAGTCAGATATTCGACTAGGATTCAAACTCGACTTCGAATGTGAATAAATTGGCTGAATTCAAATTTGAATCCTATAGCATCCGATTCGATTCAGCCGTTTTCTTCGAATTTGAATCCATTGGCATCCGATTCGATTCAGTCGTTTTCCACCCATACTCTTTATACTCTCCAAATTAGAGCATAAAATCTTAGTGAAGTCCAAGTTAAAGAGGAATTGAAGAAACAAAGGAA